AGAAAGGCGCTGGAAGGGAATCACGAAACATACGTGATATTTCTTCTTCTAACATGGGAGGTTGAACTTGTGCTGCCACTCCTCTCCATCTTAGGGTATATTCTTGAAATCTTTCATTGGTTTTCTTCTTTATTCTTCGAAGATCCATACGTGTTGGAACTAAGCCTTTAACATACCGATATTGTCCCAAAAATGCATCAGCTAGATCTACCCATCTCTTGATCTGTTCTTGGGTCAACTGATTGTACCAGACTACTGTTGGGCCAACAAGACTATCATGGAAAGAGTGAATTAATAGATCATCAGAACTCAAATATCCTTCCATTTTTCTGCAAAACATTCTTAAATGGATTAAGGGACAACTGGTGCCATCATATTTCTCAAAATCAGGCATTTTGAATTCATGGGGAATAATCAAATCTGGAACCAAGCTGAGCTTTCTTGCTTCTAATTCTTTGTGGTGGGCACTAACATCTTTCATGTTTCTGATTGCTTTCTCTGTCCTCTTGACTCTCTCCTCATATTGTGAATAATTAATGAGGCTATTCTTTGGGTTTGAGTGGGATGCCCCAGAGTATGTTATCTTTCTTGATTCTTCAATCTGATAGCACGATTTCTTTTTAGCAGTTATCTTTTCTTTATCAGATTCCATTCCCTGAATAATTTGATCTGATCCATCTGGTACTGAATCTGACGTTTCTTTCCTTGTATCCCGAGGTAACCCTGTCAATTGTTCTGGCCACTTATCTTGTAGTCCCTCATAAGATTGCTCCATTGTTTTCATGATGATGGTACAGTAAAATAAATGAATGATCTTGGTTTTTACTATTACAGAAACCTTTCCTGAATTATTTATATGTTTTTATAATTAAAGTACATAACAGTACTTAAATAAAGTGTGAAAATGCATAAATGGAAAAATAAGAATGCAAAATGTGCAATTCAAAGGCAAACATAAAAGTATGAATGCAAAATGAAAAATGCAAAGATGCAAAATGAAAATGCATGTATGAAAAGGTGTTTCTCAAGAGTGATCATCTTAGAACAGATTTCATTGAACACAAAAGTTTCGGTACATCAAATAAAACTTTACATATAAGGATATCTTTCACTCCTAACTTCTCCAAAGCCCAGTTAGTTTCCATTTATGCTCAAAAAGTTGAGTCTTCAGTCTGCTTCATCTCCTTGTAAAATTAGCTAAATCTATTACCTAAGAACCATATTATTTGTCTGGACTGCAACTTCTTCCATGACATTCTCTTTCATCTTCTGTGTCATTTCTCGGAGTTGCTCATTTTCCCTTGTAAGAGAACCTTTCTGTCCAAGAAGTTCTTGAACAAGATCTTCATATATGTTGCAGTTCTTTTTCAGCTTGGTGACTCCTATGATCCACTCTTCTGGGGTGTTTCCTATGCCAGTATTTCGAAAGGCTTGACTGATCTTCTGGAAATCTTCATTCATGGCTTCCATTTTTATGCTCAATTTCTTGTTTTGATCCTTCAAGTCCTTCAAATAACATGCTTGAGCTTCATAAAAACCTCCACTACTCTGAATGCCCTGACTAATGCTCTTACCATAGACTGCTTTTGGTATCAATCTGGTAGGATCTTTGTGTAATACTTTTGGTATTAATATAACCGGTTCTCTGTGTGCATTGCTTGCTTCTATCCTCGAAGTTTCCTCAGGATGTCTTTCCTTGGCCGCATCATATTTTGTTTGATCATAAAACTTTTTGTCCATTTACGATTTCTTTCCAATATGATGAATAGTCTTTCCAATAAACACCTTTTGATTATGCCATGATCATGCAATGCAAACAAAAGAAATCAATATAAACAAGTTTAGAGCAAACAAATATGTATGAAAAAAAATGAGAAGTGAAAAAAAGAAATTGGTTAGAACCAATTAATGGAAAGAAAAGTCTATCTATCAAGGTATAAATCTTAACCTCATGCTTTCTAGTTCCATGCTTTGTTTGGAAAAATTAACCTAACTGCATGATTTCTAGTTCACATACATTTATTCAGAGAGAAAAATAATAAATTAAATAAATTAAAAGCTAGAGCTTATTTCTCCTTTGTGTACACCTATGGCCATGGTTTCAGTATTGTCTTAGATTAGGAGAATTTCTAAGGTTTATTATATGCAGGTTTTTAGTTCTAGGAGTAAAGGTACTTGAATTGTCCTTGTTGATGCCCCCTTGGGCTATCAACCCTCAATCCTAGTCCATTACAGACTTAAGTAGATCGAGTTCAATTCAAGGGAACACATTTCTCTATGCCTGACACGGAGAATAAATTCTCACGAAAACATAGAGCATATGAACCCCGAAAGTTACTTGCTAGGTCTGACACGGAGAATAAATTCTCACGAAGACGTCGCTTTCACTCCCACTTAAAAGGGACAAACTCAATTATAGAGCTTTATGTTATGCAATGCAAGTGTTGTGTGTGAGGAGAAATATTCAAACCTCTGACAAACAAATAAAATTATTAATTCTTGAATATAATAAAATAATAATATATAAAAATAATAAGTAATACAAAATTTGAAAAAAAGAATTAAAAATTAAATATATGAATTTTTAATTTCTAATTGATAGAGACAATTTACAATTGATTTTAAAGTTTGACTACATCCCCAGCGGAGTCGCCAAGCTGTCGTAACCGGTTTTCGTCCGGGCACGAAATATTTATTTAACGGGAAAAGTGATGTGAATAAATGGTTTTTTTTAAATAATTTGGGAGTCGCCATAGGCCTTTTGGGTTAGGTAGGTCGAATACCTAAAAATTATCTTTTAAACGAGTTTTAAGAAAACATCAGTTAAAAGATGAACTGATCTGCGTTTATAACCAAAAATTCGTTCTTTTTAATAATAAAAAGGGATTCGTGGTCGGTTACGTTTAGGGAAGGATTAGCACCCCTACAACGCCCAAAATTGGTACTTTTTAATTATAAATTGTCTCTATTATTGGAAATTTAAAAATTCAAAGATATATTTAATTCATAATTCTACTATTTCAAATAATTTTAAGAAAATATATTAATATACATAAATAAGATATTTACTTATTTAGAAATATCAGAAAAGGGCTTCTAGGTGCTTTAAGACAGCTCTTTTCTTTGATATTAAAAATAAATAAATATCAAAACATGATTATTTTTCTTAAAAGTAATTTATAAAATTAAATTTATAAATAGGAAAATATAATAAATAAATAAATAAATATTATATATATTTATAAGACTATATATATTGACATAATTAATAAAGAATAATAGTAATAGTAATGATAATTAAATATATATGAACATAATATATAAAGTAACATATGATTAAATAATGTTTAAAATACAATTAAAACATGGTATGAAAAAATAAAAAATAATAAAGCTTGTAAAATAAATGAAAATATTAAACTTAGGGACTAAATTATAATCTAATAAAATTAAATACCTAATTCATAATTAATTATTTAAAATTATAGGGATTAAACATGCTATTTCCTTATTTATTAATTTGGTGACTAAATAAAATTATAAAAATTCGAATATCAGATTAAAATAAATTAAAAATATATACTCGGGATTAAAATATTATTTATTAAAACTAAAGGACTAAATACGTATTTATCCTAAATATATTATTTAATAGAAAGGACTAAAATAAATAAAATTAAAATTAAAGAACTGAATTAAAAGAATTATAAATTGATTTAGTGACTAAAATGTAAAGATTACAAGTTAGGATGACTGTGGAAAGGGTTTAACCTTTAGTTAATTACAGAGAAACCCCTCCCCAAAACGGCGTCGTTTGGGGAGGGCTATTTAAGTCCCAAACGGCTGGCCCTTCAGGCCAGCTTCCCCATTTTTCCTTTCTTTTTTCTCTCAAGCAGAGAGAGTTTTATAACTCTCTCTCGCCTCTCTCATAGTTTCCTTCGCCGGAGGAAACCAGACAACAACCGGTCCCCGTATTTTGCCACTGGTACCACCGCCGGTCACCATCTACGGTGGCCGGAAAATTACAAAACATCCCCAAATCGATGCTTTATTTACCCTAAAGCCCAATCTAAGGTTGTTTTAACCTAAAAGCTTACCAAACGTCGTAGATCTGAGATAGTTTCCTTCGACGTTTCGGTTCTCCGATGACTCGTGGAGGCTCTCACGACGGCGATTTCCTCGGTAAGTCTCTTTTCTCTTCTTTCGGTTTGTATTTTCTGGGATCGTTGGTGTAGTTCTTCTCGTGGTGTCTCGCTTATGTTTGTTGTTTCTGTCTGTGTTTTCCCTTCTGTTTTCGTGGCTGTCCCTTTTCTTTCGCAGGTGGTCGATGGCTTTATAGCCATCATCAAGACGCTCATCGGACCGGTTAAAGGAAAGGAGTTCGGTGAGTCACCGAGCTATATGGTGACTCACCATAGAGCTCGACATGGACGGTCGTTGTTGTGGCAACAAAGCTTCTGGAGGCTTCTTCGAGGTGGCTTCGTGGCACTGGTGGAGTGTCGGCAACGGCGATTGGAGCACTTGGCATCAAAGGCTGAGGCATCTGGAAGCTTCTGGCAGCTGGAGAGGCGGCTGCTGCGCGGGGCTTCTGGAAACGGCGGCTGGGAGCTAGGGTTTAGAAACCCTAGCTGAAACTCCCAAATGATTTGGGCTTCTCGGGCCTGGTTCAAGTTGGGTCACTGTTGGACCTGATCTGGGCTCCGGGATCTTGTAATTGGGCTTTGTAATATTTAATAAATAATATATAATTATAATTATAATTATAATAATAATACTAATAATAATAATTTTAATAATAATAATAAATTTAAATGAAAAAATTGATGTCTACAAAACTCCATTCTCTTGCTGCCGTTCTTGGAGATCCGGACCAAAGACAATGCCAGGGCTATAAACTCCTCCCTTTGGCAGGTTTTCACGTTGGCTCAAAACTACGAGAGCACATTGAATTAGACTAATCGGAGTTTTCACATACCCGATCTCAGGTCCCGTTACTCCCGTTACCACATTTTAAATGATGCGCTTCTCACCTCTTCCTCCGTTGGACCTGTCTTTCGGAACCACCCGAAGCTGAAAAAAGAGGGAAATTTTAAGAGAAGCCACCTCCCGAATGAAAATCTACTTAAGACTCCAATGAAAATCCCAACTCCGATGATTCGATAGATGCCTAAAAGGGTTTTAGATGCTATTCTCACTCCAAAATGAGCTGGCTTCACTGATGACCAGTAGGCCTCCCTCTTTTCGATATGTTCAGGACTCTCATTAATCCCAGGGAGACCACGGGGGTTCTCCGTCAGAGTGACAAGAGTCCTTCGAACAACAACAGCATCTGCCGAGGGTAGCTTTACAGCCCTAAGACCAATTTTATCCTGGTATTCTATAGTTGGTCCTTTGGGAGGTGGTGGACCAGGAATCTGAAACCATACAAGTAAACAATTGTTAAAAGGCATTGTAAGAATCATCATGATTCGAAAATTTCAACATTGAATAGCAAGATTTAACTGAGGAATCACATGATTCAAAATATAAGAATCAATTTTTTGTATAAGAACTTTTTTTTTCCATTTTCTTAATCGAAGAAGATAGTCCAAAGCTCTCATTGTGGTTCCAGGAGGGATTCAAACAAGTCTGGTCTCCAAAGCATCGTATCAGCCTTGGGGACAGAGATTCCATGACCAATACTAGCAACAGATAACAATGAAACTCATATTTTTCTCACACCCAACGTCAGGTGGATAATATCTGCAAAACTAGGTTCCTATATTAAACATGCAATTCCAGAATGATAAGCGAAATTAAATACAGCACAATATCTGCAAAACAATGCTATCAGGGTTTACAGGCAACACCATAATACTCCGACCTACCTAGGCCTATAATTTCGGCTAGATTGGAAGTTCAGGTAATCATTCCAGCAATATTGTTACAATTCCATCAACAATTCCAAATTGTAGTAAATTTCACAAGAAACCTCATCCCTTTTATAGATGTTGCCAGAATTAGTATTCCTACTATAAATTTCGGTACTCTAAGAAGTAAGAAGATGGCTCCAAGGTGATGATGGGCTTTCTCTCAACTGTCCAAACGGTTTTTTTCCGGAGGGGAAAAGGGGTGTCCCGTTTCGAAATAATTCTTTAGTGACCGGTTAATGATAAAATGTGGTTCGAGGAGCCGCCATCAATCTTTGATTAAGGTGTGATTGGGCACCCAAAAATAAATTTGTCATTTTAATAAAATATTAATTTTATTTAGAACGACAAACTTGTGGTTTGCGTTACCAAAATTTGAATTCGAGAGTCAATTACGTGTGGGAAAGGATTAACACCCCCACAATGCCCTAAATCGGTATCTAGTCGGTTTATTAATTGTCTTTGCTATAAAGTTTACAAGTTCGAGTCTAATTTAATTTAAGATCCCCTAAAATAACATTCTTTGAAATTTTTGGATGAAAGATAATAATATTTAGTTATTTCCTATCGAGAAGAATCGATCTCTCATACCTCGAAGCAATCGATTCTTACTCTAATCGAAATAAAGAAATATTAAAATTTCATTCTAAAGTTTACTATTAATTCAAAATAATAACATCCAAAATAATTTTAAGAGTGAAAACGATAATATCTAATTGTTTCCAATCGAGAATAAATGACTTTTTGTGATTTAAAACAATCATTTATTACCCTCAATTGAAATAAAGTGATATTACTATTTTATCTTAAAATTACATAGCAATTCGAATGAAAGCGATAATATTTAATGATTTCCAATCGAGAATAAATGACCTCTCGTACCTTAAAGCTGTCATTTATTATTCTCAATGTAGATTCGAATGTTATTGTTTTGAAAATCTATCGGAAAACACATGCAAAAATAAAACAAATAAAAAAATATGACAAACAAGGAATTAATTATTTACTTTACCGATATTTAATGAGAATAAAGATGTTCAATTATTTAAATATCTCGAGATGAGACCTTAGATTCGATCTAACAGTCTTTTCTCGATGAATTTAATTAAAAGAATATTGTCTTTTTCTCAATCCCCGAATTTTAAAAATGAAATCGATTTAATTTGTGTCACTAAATGGGATAGACTTTCATTTTACAATTATCGAAAGTAACTTTCTTATACGTTAAGACAGTGACTTTACGACAACATTAAAATGATCGAATATTACCCTTAGTCAATTTATTTTTGAATCGAGTCAAGGGATGCTTATGAGGTTATCATACAAAATTGTTGAGTTAATCGATCGATGGAATTGGACAAGAGGGGGGGGTGAATTGGCAATAAATAATTTGTCTTTCTTTTGAGGACAAAGAGTAACCTTACAAATCCCTCAAGAATTATACCCCAAATTCTTGAGAATACTCTCTCCCAAAGAGAACAATACAAATTTTGCAAACTTACAAGAAAATCCTCACAAGGAAAGATGTTTGCACAATTCTAGAACAAAGAAAGAACACTCAAGAATAATACAATTGCGTACAATAACTATTCTTGAAAGCAAAGATGAATATTGAATGAAATAGGCTTTAAAATGCTCAAACTTGAGGTTCGATGCTTTCTCTTTGATTCTCTCTTGATTCTTGATTCTTGTTGTTGATCAATGGCTTGTAAGCTTATTTAAATACTCATTGGATCATTTCTGAACGTTGGGGATCATTAGTTGAGTTAATAGAGTCGTTAGTGTGTGAAAACAATTAATAAAATCAGTTGAGAGCGTGTGTACATCGATGCATAGTCAAGGTGCATCGATGCATTAAGGAGGTGTTTTGTTCAAGGATTGTGGGATTCCCATGGGATGGGAATCCCACATTCCCATGTTTGGTTGGCCGGGAATCTCATTCCCGGTAATGTTTTATTACCAATTGTAGATTTTTTTGGGGTATATTACCGGGAATGTCATTACCTCCCTTCCCTTAGTTATTGTAACATTACCGGCGTTTTGGACTAAAATGCCCTTAAATTATTATTTTTTTTCAAAAATATCATTCTTCTATCATTGAATAATAAAAATTATACGAAGGTTAAATTACAAATTTATCTTAAATTATTTTAGATTTACAAAAAAAATCTATAATTAAAATTTTATATGAAGTTTAGGGGTTAAAATATTTACCCTTTCATTAAACATTTTTTATATTTTTAATTTTGTAAAAAAAATTATATAAATATTATGAATTTAAATTTTTAAAGAAAATATATAAATATTTTACAATTTGTAATATTATACAAATATATAATAAGGACAATTTGGTCAAATATACATTCCAATAATCTTTTATTCCTTTAACCAAACACAGTAATCTTACATTCCTGCTAAACCAACCAAACACAAAATACAACATTCTCACTAATCCTATTCCCTGGTAATCTTTTATTCCCATTGGTAATCTTACATTTCGTGAACCAAACGCACCCTAAGTGTAAAATTCAAATATTTTGACCGTTGGAACACTTAGTGCATCGGTGCACTAAGGGTGCATCGATGCATAAATGCATTCGATGTTTCAAACAAGCCTGGAGTGCATCGATGCATGGTCTGTGCATCGATGCATAAAATGCATTCGATGTTTCCATAAAATTCTGAGTGCATCGATGCATAAAATGCATTCGAAATGGGGTGTGCATCGATGCATCAATGAGTGCATCGGTGCATCTTTTCACAAATTTTATTTTTTTTTGTCGTTTTTTGTTCGAAATACTTTGTGAAAATTGTTTCAAAAATATTTTAAGTATAAAACACAATTTTACACTTTAGTAAGGATTGAAATTAAACTTTGAAAGACTTGGAGTAATATTTTAATATTCGAATAATTGTATCGAATATACTTAGAAAATCATTTGTAAAATCTTAAAATTCATTTAACTTACTTTGTTATATCGAAACATCAAAATGTTTTCAACAAAAATTAATTAGGCTAAAATGAATTAAAATGCAAACGACATGCAAAAATAAAAATAAAAAAGAGAAGTAGGACTAAAACATAAATAATCAAATTACCATGCCAAAATTAAAATAAAATAAAATATACAAGGGACTAAAATGAACGTTTACAATATTAAGTCCTAAAATAAAAATAAAAAAAACATGGGGTTAAATTGAAATAAATTAAAATTACATGGTTGAATTAAAATAAATAAAACATATATTCATGCTCGAAATGCAAACATGCAGAAATATAGGGGGCTATACAAAGAATATCCCTAAAAATAAATATCAGACATAAAAAAGGTAAATTACAAAAAACAATCCCTACAAGGACTAACATGCAAAAACACGCTAAAAGTATGAGGACTAAACTACGATTAGACCAAAAATTTTAAGGCATGCTTAAACTAGAAAAATAACAAAATTGGTCCCTGCCAGTGACCTCTTTACAAAAACACGACAATGTTTGGGGGACCTAAACGCAATTTCCCCCCGAAACTTTGTCTATATATACCAACTTATGTTTTTTTTTTTCATTTGCAAACCGAAAATTAAAAAAAAAAATCTTTCTCTCGTTTTTTCTTCTCTCAAAGCAGTCGGTCTGCCCATTGTCGGTCACCCTTCTTCGACCCCGGACGCTGTCCGGTCACCGTACCGACTACCGTTGGAGCTTCGAAACGAACCCAAAAAAAGGCCTACAAAATCCCCTCACTCTCCTAAACCTAGATCTAGGACCTAAATTACCTAAAATGGCCCTAAACCGCCCCAAAGCGAGCTCCGACCACTCGGCTTCTCACTCACTCCGGTGACCGCTCACGAGGACGAACTAGCCCCGATTCAACCCCCTTTTAGGTAAACTACTCGAACTCCTCTCCTTGATTTTCTGTTTTATTTTGAAATTGTGGTTTTTTTTGTTTTGATTTTTTCGACTTCGAAACTAAAAAAACAAATAAAAAATACCTTGAATGCTCTAATTTTATTTCCTTTCGAAAACAAAGGGGAGGAACCCTTGTTACATATTTGGTTCGGGTTTATATAGCCTGCGTTTTACATTTGTTTTTGCTGATTTTTTCTACAAAAATGATTACAAAGATACATCATAGTTGTTTTTGTGTGTTGATTTGTATTTGGGGTTACTTGTGTGTTGATCTATGCTGTCTAACACTTGCAGGGTTTTGGATTGGTGGCAATGACGGTGGCAAGGGAGTGGTCGAAACAACGGCTGGAATCTGCTCGATCTAGACCGTTGGATGGGTCCAGATTCGACGGCTGAGAGAGTGGTGGCTGCTGGCTGGATGGGAGCATTAGGGTGAAAAACTCTAATGGATTTGGGCTTCAAAATGGGTCTTGGGTCAGGTTGGACCATGGCTTGGGCTTCTTTTGGGCTCCGGATTTATTGGGTCTAATGGATGATGTAATTTGGACCCAATCAAGTTGTTGTAATCAGTCTATAAACATAAAATAAAATTAGTTAATAATAATAATAATAATAATTAATGGGACGAAAAACCACCGTCTACATTAACATTAGCACCATCATTACCAAGATCACATCAACTACCATCATCATTGTCTATATTTGTGGCAGTACAATCCCATATATCAACATTGTTAGGGCTTGCGCTAGCTTGTCCTAGTTTTATTAGCACCAATCTTTACTACTGTAATGGTGAAGGAAGAAGTGAGCTACCGTGGTACATCTACCACATCCATCTTCACGGCTTTTTTACCCAAATATCACCCCAAAAATAATTAATTACCAAAATAATATCCATTGTTGATTAATTCTAGATCTAGTACTCAATTCTACCACTAGGTAAAGGTGCATTTTTCAAGAAGCTTATTTTGTTGATCTCGTTAAAGTTGGACTGAAATGAAAGAAAAAAAAATCGTAAAATATAAGAAAAAGTATGTGAATTTTGTAAAAAAAAAAAACAAATGCATGTGGTGCATGTCAAGGGAACGTAATTACACAAGTTCGAGAACAAGTACAAGTCAAGTTGGACGACGACGATACTGTGTATTAATCTTATGTATAATCATTCGATAAATAAATGTTTAAAATATTATATTTAAATACTTGAAAACCCACATATCTAAATAATATGGGACAATACACGTGTATCATCGTTGTCGTCGTCGCCCGACTCGACTCATGATTGTGCTCATGCAATTACGTGTCTTTGATACGCACCACACACATTTATTCCTTTTAGTTAAAATTCGTATAATTTTCTTTCATATTTTTTACCTCCATATTTTCTTTTATTTTGGTCCAACCTGATTGAGATAAGCAAAAGGAGCTTCTTGGCAGAAGGCACCTTCTTGCCCCGTAACAATAATGGTACTAGATCAGTAATTAATAAGCAATGGGTTTTATTTTAGTAAATAATATTTTTGGGGTTGATATTTGGATAAAAAAACCCATCTTCACAACTACTATCAATTTGTTCCATTACCTTCATTTTCTCCATCAAAGCTCCCACCACCCAGTTTTAGTCATCAATAGTCCATGTACCACTACATGTGCTAGTAGCATCTTTCCTTGACCTAAACTAAAAGCAAACTAGATATTGATGAGAACTCTAATGGAGTTGCTTGCACACCATATAAAGGTGCAAATATACCATTTTCAGGATGCACCTTCCTCCTTAGTGACGACCCGCTAGAAAAATATATCTAGGACTGAAGTATAATCTAGAAAATATATACCCTAAATCTGCCCCACTTTCCTACGTATAAACCTAAAAGTAGAACACTAATAGTTGCTCAAGACAAGATTAATGGAGCTTGGTTTCCTTGAATCTGAAATTTGGTATGACTAGATTGCGATCTCTAGGAGTTAATTGTTCCTCTCAATTTTCAAATCAGCCAAATAGAGCATTATATTGAATAATATTACAACAAAGAAACAGAAAATTGGTTGAAGTGAGATGATGTCACAAACTAAATCGAGCAAGGGCACCATTGAATTCTTATATCTAGAAAAATCAAAATAGCCATTCCCATCCTGCAGCAACTTAATGTCTTAGACAAACCATGAAATGGTAGGGTATCAAAAACAAACAGAAATGCAGAATAATCGCTTACCACTGCCCTAGGTTTCCTGGGTCTAGAACGCCTCAACTCCTGCCACTTGTCCATGTTTGCCACACCCAAAACTGCTGATTCATATGTTGCAAAGTTCCCAACAATTCTTTTATCAGACTCCAAACTTACATAGGCAGTAACATGGTTTGGCACAGCAGGAGCCTCCCACTGCCTTGTATTGAACATAACCCCCATTTCAGCAGGAATTGAATCAAATCCACATGCTGAAACAATCAAGGAACCTGTCTGCACAGCCTTTTCATGGTATTTGGCCTCCATTTTTCCATAAACTCAGGCTCTCCAGTTATATCCAAATAATCACACCTACAGTGTAAATAACTTGAGTTACATAGGGATTCTCTACTACTACAAAGTAAGAAATTAGCAAGTTCAATTGTCAGATAAGTTAATGATCAAATACCTTAGCTGAAAGTGAAGAGAAATATTACACTAAATAAAACTAAAGATTCTACAACTAAATCCCATAGAAGCACCAACTCACCACTTTATGCATAATTAACATTCAAGAACAAGGCAAACACATTCAACTACAAAAACAAGATCACATTAACTTTCAAGAGACTTGTCCACAGTGGTGGATCTTGACACTTGAGTGACCGTTTATAAGACCAACGACTACAATGAAAGTTTGTGAATTTGGACATCAAGAAAGAATAACCCGATGCCGGACAAAGGCAGAAGAAAAAAAAAACTGATTTTTCAATAGTTATGGTTGAAGTTAGGAAAGCTAGTATTTTCTAATTTAAAATACATACATTAAGCCATTGCCGGATTCACTTGGAAAAGAAGGGCCAATGCAATTAACACCACTCAATTTACTATATTCCCACAAATATCAATATCCTATTCAAGCTTTTTACCATCAAGATTCATTAATTTCCACCACGCTCTTAATATTATCAACAACAAATCGCCATAAACATGCTGCAATTCCATACTTGTTGTAGACACTTGTTTTTGTCCAGGTCGAAAAATATTATTATTATTATTACTATTATTATTATTTTATTATTAACAATTGATTTACATCTGGTAGACCCTCACCCTGAGCCCAAATTACAAATCAAGCCAACCCGAGGACCCGACTGCATCAAACTTGGCCCGAGATCCGACCCGGTTGACACACCCGTTTATCAGCAATAAAAAAAGTTCAAACAAGTTTTTTTCTATTTCGAAACAAAGAAAAAAGAAGAGAAAAGACTCTTACCCATTCGACCGAAGACGCTCACGGCGTTGGAGGGCTCGGTTTGTGAATCGACCATTGAAAAGGAAGAGAAGATGACGTAGAACAATATATCTGAAAATGGCGACGATCCAACGGCGGACGGCGACATATCAGAGAGAGGAAAACCGAACGGTCTTCGACTATTTCGCGACAAATGATGTCTCTTCTCGCAAAACAAACCCTGGATCCAAGACGGGGAGGCCGAGACGGATCTTCGAGTGAAATTTGGTGGCCATCAACCACCGTCGACGGCCGACGACGGACGACACGGTGACCGACAGGTGGTAAGCTACTGGCGATCTCTCTCTAAAACCTATTCAAATGAAAAAAAAAATATTGATATTTATAGAAAACTTTAGGGGAAATTGCACTTAGGTCTCATTAAGTTAGGCGTGTTTTGCAAAAAGGTCACCTAAAGGGACTGTTTTGTAGTTTACTCATTTCTGATGCATGTTATATCTTTTTGGTTTAATTTTTTTTATTCCCTGTACTTTTATGCGTGTTTGTATTTGGTCATGTGTAGTGACTGTTTAAATATTTTTAATACTTAGGGACTGATTAATGATTTTCCTTTTTACTTCTCAACACTAACTTTTTGGTTTATTTTCTTCTAGGTCCCTTATATATGTTGTATTTTACATTTTAGTCCCTCAGTCCTACGTTTTTATTTATTTAATTTTTAGCACTTTAGTTTTATTACTGCCAATTTAGTCATTGATATGTCATATTTCCTATTTTATTTATTTATTTATTTATGATTTTGACACTTTATTTTCTGTTATTTTATTTTAGTCCATGAGCTTGCTAATGGTATATTTATGTTTCGTTCCTATAATTTTTAATATTTATGTTTCAATTTTTTATTTACCCTCTTACTTGTATGATATTTAATTTGGATGGTTGCTTTAGAAATTTTGTAGGTTGATCCCTTTTTATGTGCACATTGATATTATTGCTTCGACATATTTTTTTATTTTTTATTTTTTTCTAAATATGTAAATGGGAAATTTTATTGTGAGGGAAATTTACGAGGACATCTCTCGACTACAAAGGAATGTGTCTTTTCGAGGATTTTTCGCATAAATGTTTGTTTTGTATTCGATAATTCTCTTTGTTCCACGTTTATTTATTTTGATTATTTTTCAAATATTTTCACTTTAATTTGCTTTATTTTATTTTATTTTATCTCTGCGAAAAAAATGCAAAATAACGTCTTTTGTGAGAATAATCTATGAAAATGTCTCATAATTATAAATGAAGTGCATTTTCAAGTATTGTTCGTACAAAATGACACATTTTCACTTATAAGAATAATTATAATATATATTTTTTATTCTATAAAAATATCTTTTGGGCTATTTAATCTTTTTGACTTATTGCATCTCTTATTTTAAGTTGTTTTTTTTAATTTGACACTTATTTAAATAAATTTGAATAAATAGAAGTATCATAATTTAAATATATTTTCGAAGTTTGTAATTCCCAATATTTAAATAACATATAATCGTTTAGGTACCAAAATTTGGGCGTTGTGGGGGTGCTCACCCTTCCCCACACGTAATCGACTCCTGAACTCTTAAAAATGAATCTTTGGTAAAACACAGACCATTTTTTGTCGTTTAAGGTTTCAAACTTACCTAACTTAAAGGTTGGTGGAGACTTAAAAGTCAAATTGTTTTCAAAATTATATTTCATCGCCTTCCTCGAAACTAATTTTTTTCAAGTCTAACGAATCCCCGAGGAAGACGTTTTGACAGCTTGGCGACTCTGCTGGGGACTTCGAGAGTCAGGCCATAAACGATTATATGTTGTTTTTATTCTTGAGAATTACAAACTTAAATTGTATTTAATTTATGTTCCTTTTGTTTATTTTTTAGTTTCAACATATCATGCATTATTCTATTTTTAACTAATTGATTTTTATTTTGGTGGTCTTCAAATTTGAACAGATTTTTGAAACTTCTGAAAATGTCGTCTTTTGTCTTGTTTTCAAAGGTTTGTGAGTTTCTCCTCACAAACAACACGTACATTTACATACCATAAGCTCACTTACGAGCTTTGTCCCTTTTAAGTTGAGGTGAAAGCTTAGCCTACGTGAGATAATTTATTTCTCCGTATAGGTTTTAGCAAGTAAACTTTGGGGTTCATATACCTTAGGTCTACGTGAGATAAATTGTTTCTCCACATGGACACAAGAGAATGTATCATCTCGAATTGAACTTGATCCGCATGAGCCTGTAATGAGCAAGGATTAAGGGTTTTGACAGCCTAAAGAGGCACCAACATGGACAATTTGAGTATATTTTTCCTAGAACCTAATACCGCATATAGTGGACCCTAGTGACCCACCCCAATAAAATTCATACCAAAACTATATCCGTCAGTAGGTACCAAAAATAAGTGTACACAAAGGAGAAATGACACTAAACCTCTTTTATTTACCCACATTAATTTTTTCTCGAATAAAGCATGTGAACTAGAAAAACACGTGGTTAGGTTTTATTTTCGAACAAAGCATGGGGTAGAAAGTATATTTTGGGTAGGATTAACCTTATAAGGGTAGAAAAGCATGTGGGTAGGTATTGTAATTACCTTTCAATAATATCTGCTTGATTTTTGATTTTTTTTAAACTGACATATTTTCTATGTTTGATTGTTTATTATTTGGCATTTTGCATGATCATCATAAATAAAAGAAATATGTTGATTAACCAAGTAATCATCAGAGTAGAAGAGCGATCATTAAGATGGAAAAAAAAATATTCATAACAAGTAAGAATCCAATCCGGTTGTCCGAGTTTGGTCTGAAAAAAAAACATAAAAGGCGAAAAGAGACAGTTTGTCTGGGGATTATGTATCACAGATGACCACAAATGTTAATGTCAATTTCAAGCAAAATGATATACAAGAGCTGATAGAGATTTGGGAGAGCTAAAGAGTAGATACCAAAGAGAAGTTCCACAAGAAATATAGTGATATAACCTATATCATCTATGTAAAGATTGATGAACCATTGCTTAAAGCTCTGGTCTGATTCTGGAATCCTGCGTACAACATCTTCACTTTCAACATATAAGATTTGACACTAACAATAGAGGAGTATACAACTCTATTCAACATATAAGATTTGATGATAGTGGTCATGTTCATATGACGGCATTGAGAACAAAAGTAAGATTCAAAAAAAATTAAAAGAAGAAGCTGAAATCAGTATGGTGGAAGTCTGTTCAGCTAATCGTAGGGTTGAGTCTTCCAGGATGATCCGAGAAAAGAGTCCCCATTTCCTGAGGTGTATATCGTATGCAGCTATCACATAGGAAGCTTAGGACATTCTGATGAGAATTGTAAGACACTGAAGCGGAAGATCCAAAACCTGATAGATTCAGGGGCATGGACAATTGAAGAATGATGGGGGAATTGCATCTACCACTTGCATTGAGAGCATTGTTTTGTTTGAACTTGTTTTTGTTCTATCTTTCATATTTGCTTAAATATTTTTAACCTTTTAATGATCGAACGTATGCTATTTTCTAAGGTTGAATAATTGAACAAGTTTTAATCTTGTAGTTCTTTGAATATCAAATGAATTATAGATTCTTTTAGTTCTTCAAGAATTATAGATTTTTGACATATGGCAAGATTAAAATTTTCTTATACCATCTAAAACCAGAAATAAAATCTCTTCATTTTTTACCCGAAATAAGTCATGGTCACTACCAAAAGATCAAATTTTGACATTACCCCTCTTTGAGACTTTGATATATTGCCTTTATCTTCTTTTAAACACAAAAAGTCATACCCTTACCTTTTGTTGAGCCAATAAAGTCACATTATCGTCTTCTTAGACGCAAAACCGACATTTTTCTACCAAGAAAACCTAAAGACATTGAGTACAAGATGTTCCCTTGAACGTGAACCTCCCTACAATGAGAAACAATGTGGAGCATCTCGAATCAATATTCTGAAAATGAGCCTGAACAATTGAGAAATGCTAGAAGAAAGAAGAAAAAAAAGGAAATTAATTCAAAATAATTCTATCATGCATTAAGTACATTATTTTCAATTGAATAAAATTAAT